CTGGAAATGGCCTACATTTGCCAAAATAATAATGCAATGAATCATAGAACAGATATTGGCCATCTAAATGAAATGTTCTCCTACTTGTTACTACTAGATAAATGCAACAATAAGACAAACAATAATTTATCAATTGACATTTAAGTAATTAAAAAGTTCATTTTTGAGGAATTTATTTTTTTTTTACAAAGTTAGTTTGTTTAAATTTAATAATTTTTGTTTACACACAGATACTGGGGTCATACAAAACAAAATCACAATAAATTGTAACGTTTTTAGAATTACGACCTTATTTATTTATGTTAATTTAATAAGATTTGTTTTAAAACATTGACAGGTTGAAATTTTACTTCCTAATGATATTAACAAATATAAAATAATTTATATTTCCACGATATACCTAATAATAAGCCTATAATTTGTTGTACTAGCAGTTGCTTGATATTAGGGATGTGAGATTTTCACTTGCCAATGTCAATATCAATGTCATAGATTTGTTTATAAATAATTAAGTTTGTGTGAATGTTAAGTAATTTTTTTAAAATTTCAAATATAGGAATAGGTTTTAGCTCAACAGACTGTGATAAATTTTATCAACAATTTTTATAACATCATTTATGAGACAACCTCATTAAGTTTGTAAGTATCGAATTTTTAATTAATTATACAAATTTGTAAAAATTATTCATCACATTTGTAGCTCCCTGATGAAGGACATAACCAATGTCCGAAAGCTTGGAATAAAAATTTAAAAGAGTACACCTTTCATTTTTATTGCTGCATACCCAATATTTAAAGTTTACTTCCTTACGTGGTCAGCAAATACTTCTGGTTCATTATATATATATATATATATATATATATATATATATATATATATATATATATATATATATATATATATATATATATATATATATATATATATATATATATAATATATATATATATATATATCTGTCTCGCAACAATGTTGTTTGCGTAAAGGAAGCGATAATAGTTCAGGAAATGTAGCTGATTGAGTTGAAATTTTAACAGAAGGTAGGTGATAGCCCAAGGATCAAAATCTATATCGAACCGAAGTGCACTGATGGGTTTTAGGGGTGAAAACTATCCCCAATTGTCAAAAATTATAAATTAACATTAAACCTGAATATGGGTAAGATTTGGTTTGAATTAGTTAAATAATGATTATTTTATACTTTTGAATAGAGTTCCATCATATTTCAACCCTTAAAAAGCAACCCTTGTTAGAGATTACTGTAAAAAAATATTAATTCTAAAAAAATGATTTCGCCTTGGATCGATTTGGATAAAAATTTGGATTTAAGCTCAATTCACCCACTGCTTTATAGTTTATGTCATGCCGAAGAACCCTGATTGTTCTTAGGGGTGAAAACTACCCTTAATTGTCAAAAATTATAAAATAACATTAAACCCGAATATGGGTAAAATTTTGTTTGAATTAATTAAATAATGATAGTTTCGTGCTTTTGAATAAAGTTCCATCATATTTCAACCCTTAAAAAGCGACCCTTGTTAAAGATTAATGTAAAAAAAGTAGTAGTGCGAAGAAAATGATTTCGCATTGGAACGATTTGTATAAAAATTTGGAATTAAGCTCAACTCACCCTCTGCTTTATAGTTTATGTCATGCCGATGAACCCTGATTGTTCTTAGGGGTGAAAACTACCCCTAATTTTCAAAAATTGTAAAATAACATTACAAATCTTAAGATGAGTGAAATTTGGTTTGGATTAGTTAAATAGTGATTTTTTTATCCTTTAAAATACAATTTCATACATTTTCAACCCTTAAAAATCAATTGTTATGAGTGCTATAGGGGAAAACAATTTTTTGCCAAAATTTTGCAACTTTTCAACTTTTGAAAATCACCCTTTACATCATTGCAGTTTTTATAAGCTTATTTAATAAATATGAATTGAAAAAAGTAGAATTAAATACAAAAAAATTTATCAACATAAAAAGGCACCATATTCGCTCCTTGCGTGACCATGGTATGGATACATTGAAACGATGCCAGCGTGCGTAGCGGCGAAATATGACAAAATTGGAATATTGGACAAAATATTTTTACGCATAAATTTTATAAAAATTGTGTGCAAATACATGTTGCGTATTTAATTGTGCTAATAATAGCAAAAACAGTGAGTGTAGTTTTTATAGGTTCCCAAAGATTACTTATAAATTAGAGAAAAGAAAAAGATGAATTCGTGCTATTAATATGAAAAAGTAAATATCACATAATTTCATTTTTATGCAATTGAAATAGGAAAAATTTAAATAATTTACCTTGAATGATATTTCATAAGGCTTCAAGCTAACTGCAGATGACTTTAGCTTTTATATCAGAACTTTTACTATTATTGTTTTTAATTATATGCTCTTTTGCGTGAAAAACTTGATTTGCCAGTACTAGATTTTTCCCTTTCTTTTCCGTTTGGAGTTATAAAGATATATTATGATGAATTTTGAGAAACCCAGTTTTTAATACTACATTTATTTTGTACATAAACTGAAAAAATATAGTTAAAAAACTAATTTATTAATAATTGTCAATTTCGCATGTATTTAACAATGTCATACATATGTCATATGTTTAACCTGAAAATTGGGACTCCAAAATTGTCAGATGAAGGCGGTAGGTGTCGCGTCAGCCACGTACGGAGCGAATATTCTTATACATTTACATTAATAGTTGAAAATATTTACATTTATAGGTAAAACAATTATAATATTAATTTTATTCGTCATCAATTACATCTTCATCGTGATCTATGTCATCCTCATCTTCTTCAATTATTGGTGGACTATTATTGCACCCTTCACCTGAGCACCCAGAACAAGTAGAGCTACAGTATAAATCAAGTTTTCTGCACCCACGTGAAATGCCGCATCCTTTTTTGCATTGGCAAAAAATAATTTTCAAAAGTTCATCGGGTGCAGGTTGTTTGTTCATGCGTACGGGTAATAACAAACCATCTTTGGAATAACATCCCCAATCTGTTGCTCTGATATTTTCATTGCCAAACCATAGACATATGAGCAGATGTTTTATTCTGTTGTATGGGATTTCGAAATAAGAACGCTGAAAATTTCGAATGTATAACGCCCCACTACCTAATATACCGGATTTGTAGATTATTATGGTCCGAAATGTACTCTACTATACTAATGGAATTTTCCGGAAAAAAGTTAATTGGTTTTTTAAACGTATTTCCTTCATTTTTAACGATAGAGTGTTTCTTCAAAAACGATTTTGTAGAGGTTTTTAAGAGCTACAAGGATCCGTGAAATAAATCTTTTTGGAACCCTTGGTTTTTAAGTAGGGTGAGTTTAAAGGGTTCGAAAAAGATGGTGTTTGATCGTAAATTGATGCTTTAAACGGCTATATCTCGCCAAATATTCATTGTACAACAAATCTAAATAAAGGAAAATTTTAGTCATTAAAAAAGCTACAATTTAGTACATTTTTATTTTTTTCATATATTCAGTATTTTCGGGGATATTTAAAAAAAGAAGGGTAAAAAATATGAAATTGCAAATCGTTTCTCGCTTTATGCTGTACTTTTTCTAAAACTAAGCATTTTAAATGGGTCAAATTTCTTGGACGTATTAACAATACATGTACAAAGAGAATTGCAGAAGGGTGAAGATCGATTTTAATTGTGGGGCTGGTTAGGGGGTTGTTTTCATCGATTTTTTCGTAAAAAATGAGGTATTGACCTTATTTTCATCATAACTCACTCAATTTTTGAGCTAGAGTCTTTTTTTTATGATAGGTCTATTTATGCTCTTTAAAAAAGGTTCTGAGTTTTCTTCCAAAAATGCATTATTTTCCCGATATTTGACTTTGAATCTTTCAAATTTGGCATTTAAAGAAAACTGCTGAACATTGATAGGCCGTATTTCGGTTCCTGTTATATCGCAAAAACATTTTAAAAAATGAATTGTATTTGTCTTTTTAAAAGCTACAAATTTGTTCTCTACAACTTTTTTTGATAAAATGCACCATTTTCGAGTTATTCGCGAAAAATCAATTAAAAACGTCGATTTTCTTCTAAAAGTTGTTACTTTCAATCGCGAATAACTTGAAAAATATGTTTTACAAAAAAAATGTATAGAACATTTTTTGTTTAGAATCACTTTTTTAATCGAAACCTGTAGTCAAAACGTAAAAAAAAAAATTTCACCCCCGAGATGGGGTGGCAACCACCCCCAAGGCTTTGGCGCACTTTGGTTCTTGTTCCTGATCACTATAGATTTTGATTCTTGACTATTACCTACCTTCTGTTAAAATTTCAAGTCAATCCACGCAGGACGAAAAAATTGCGAGGTGAAATGCTTCATTTTCTGGACTATAAGTGGTTTGACAGCATAATAAAATCTTAAGTTACAGTTTAAGTTTAACTTAAACATCCCAATTTGTAATCATAAATAATGTAAAACAACTACAAATTTGTAACATTTAAAGGGTTTTGACCCATATATTTTGGTCATTCATAGCATGTACACTCTTCTAACACTGCTGATGGAATTAACATTCCGAAAACGTTCTGTAATGTAATTGTGATAGCCCGTTTGGGCATTTTATTATATACTTTTTATAAAAGATTTGAAATAAAATTTTTTGTAATGTCTTTAAGTTAGTACTACTACTAACACACCACTATATTCAACGAAAAATTGCCAGAGCCAATGAAAAAATCATATCAAAAATTCAGAGTTCAGTTTCTATATTTTTAATATATTGGTAGACCTCCAAGAAATTTAATGTAAAATATGTTAGTTATATGCATGATTTCTAGCATTCTCAACCAAATAACCATTTTAGATAGTTTAATTTTTTTTTCCACAAACATCCCAAAAAAATAAATCATAAGTGTTACTGTTGTCCTAACACTCTACTTTATAAAGTTTTATTGTTCCCTAATCGTATTACATAATCAAATACAATAAATACCTTAACTAAAAGCCAGATATGACACAGCAAAAGATAATTCACCTGGTTTCCATAAAGGTCATAAAGCTCATTGGGCTGCAATTTCTGGATGTATTTTAACTGAAAATGATTTTTATGTAATTGCACGCCACGGTAAAGTTAGAAACATTGCAATCTGGAAACTAAAAGTTTTAGCCAATAGTAACAGACAATTATTAGAAGCTTCTCCAGATAGAATAAAGCAGGACATAAAATACAAATTTCCAGAAGGTGGTATAGCAGGCCCTCTTGGTTTGAATGAAAAAAGTATTCTAATAAAATACTTATAACTATATATGTGTTACATTGGTATAATTATAACAGTATATAAAAGTACTTTGCATGTATTATAATAATCATCAACTAACCTTTGACTTATGTATTTTGAGATACTTTAGATGTAGAATAAACTTTCTATATTATTTTTTCTTATTCATAATGGGGTAGTAGGTACTTTTTTTCTGATTTATGGTAATAGGTATGATTAGTTGTAAGTTTGTAAGTTAGTTTTTTATTGAATGGTAAGATTACTAATTTGGAACGGTGGTTAAGGTTTTGTCGGAACACGGTTAATCCGGCACTACCCTGGGCTCTTCTGGCCTAGTGTCATAATTGACCAAAAGATGTCACGGTGTCTTGCTCCTTGACATTAGATGTCTAAAAAGATTTCCCCCTCTGTTGCCTGCCAGAAATTCAATGGGTACCGTCTTAGGCTTTTACTGGAGTCTGACAAAAAAAGCATACATGAGATACAATCTGATGTATGTATGGGAAAGGCTAGACCTAATTTTAGCGAAATTTAGCCTATCATGTACTGACAAGAAATAATTTAAATGAAAAACGCATATTGTTTTTATTTACAGATCCGGTGCAACACTAAGATTGACAACATTTATATTTTAATAAAATATAAAATGCAACACGATTATTGGCACCTTTCATACTTAAAAAAAATAAATATCAACTGCGCTTGGTCATATATAAAACAGCTCTATATTATCTTAAACTTATAGAACAAAAACCTCTCTCATTTAGCTAATTGTAGCATTTGCAAATTCATTGGTTCTTTGGTATATATTGAAATCCCGTCATATATGTATTAAAATAACGAAGATTTGTTTTCCATGTTTCTTAGTTCGTATCTTTCAAGTTAAAACCCAAATAATATTTCGTTCTTTTCACGTCGGCAAGTCGATAATAAATCATTTTATTGTTTTTTTATGTCACAGGCGCAAATTCTTCGATATTCCTTTGATCGTTAAACCGCCCGATAGTGCGTTTTCAAATTAATAATTTACGTCTTAATTCCCGTTTGTGTTTTGTTTATACTAAGTGCTTTGTTTATTCCAACTTATGCGATCAATTTTAAAAGATAATTTCATCACTCTAGTTGGAACCGCGATCAAGAGCGGTTCAGCATTATGTCCAAATTCATGTCAAATTTGTAAAGATTTCTGTTGTCCCTTTTCATAGAAAATGTGTAGCAGTGTGTTTCAGTTAATGTTTTGAGTGAGGATTGTAATAATCGTCGTTTCCATCTTCGTTTTGTTTCTCCCTGGTTATCATCCAAGGCTTTTGGCAGTATGGAGATTGATTTGTTCGTGTTTTCGTTGCACAGAGAGTGAAGCCCAGGTCTACCGCCAGTTATAGTTCCATAAATACCAGTGACGTCCAGTTACAGAAAATTTAAAGTGCAATTTTTTAGTGAAAAATCCAGATAACTTTTGTTTCAAATTTTAAAGTAAAGACAGACAATTTTTTAACAAAATAATAATTGCTTTCGTTAAAGTTTAAAAATTGTAACATTTAAAGATTGTAAATTTTAGGTTTTGAGTTTAGCTATCAATTTAATTGTTCGTAGATTTAAACTTTAATGTTAACATAAGACAGCTCGCTTTATTATTTTTGATATTCATTTGTTTTGTTTTTAAAAAAGGGTTAACCTCTATGATGTAACAATTATAAGCTTTTGTAGTATCTCCAACTCCTAGAGTTTGTAAATGGATGACATGTAAGTTTTTTTTTCGTAGTTTGCGGCTATTGATATATTTTTGCATTGTCTTATTTTTGGAACTGTTTGTGGTAAGACACAATAAATGTTACATTTTTTTCTTAACATTTTGTTTATTTTTTAACTAACCTTTTTTGAGTCGCGTTTGAAAAAGATATATTTTGCATTACTAATAATTATTTCCCTAGTTAAAACTAGCTGTTGTAATGGTTATAATTAGGCATCCCGAAGTGGCGTCCATCTTAAATTACTAGAGGTGTTTCCAGTTTCCTGTTTCTGTTTTGTTTTGTTTGTCCCAAGAAATTCATGACCTTTTGTTTCATATTTTTGTAGTTGCCTAAATCCAACCCCTTTGTCATCTACTTATCCACGACCTCAGATCTTCTAACAAACCCTGAGTCACAGAATAATAAACAATCAGAATGCCCACTCTCAGATCCCGCCTGTGAAGTTTTTCAGAACGCGCGCCATGTTTTAGGAGGAAACACATAACACAGACATATGATTTGTGAGGTTACGTAATTGTTTTTATTTATGTTTAATTATATTATATTTATGTTATTATATTTAACAATGTTAATATAATTGTATAGTATGTCTATGATTGTCGTAAGTCAATTAAACCGGGTTAATTTTTCTATGTACAACACATAAACATCACTGGTTCCCTCTAAAACATAGCGGAACGTCTGTGCGAAGGAGATGCGCGTACTTAATTTTCCATGGAGAGTGGGCATTCTGATTGTTTATTATTCTGTGCCTGAGTGCTGTTCGCATGTTTCGATTATTTTGCTTGTCCTATCTCCACCCCCCACTAGTTTCTGTCCCCAATTTTCTACCCCTTATATGAATACCCCATGTGGTAGGCAAAATATTATCTTAACAACATTACAAGGAAATGTTATACAAAGCTGCAATTCTTGGCTCCAGACAGAGGGATTCTACCAGACAAATGTGTAACCATCGACATCTAAGGTTTAGACGTTGGGCGCCAATGTGTAACCACCTTTCTATTGGAGCCAATTATTAGTCCTGGTTTAGCTCAGCCTCTTAGGTGTGAGAACATCTTATCTTAGAAGTAAATCTGAAAAATGAGTTTGGGGACAACCTAGATATTAACTAATCATATTTATTATACTGTTACGGTAAATATGACTCATATTTAACCTGTAAACATTTTATTATTCTAACAAGTATTTTCTAGTAGGTTCTCCTCCGATAAAAACCTGTTTGGCGTTCCATCCTATTCGAGCAGGGTCAGGCAGGTCACCATAATAATAATAATAATAATAATAAATTGCCTTTATTTAGTCTGTAAAATTTTACAAACACTAGGTACATGAGGCGAAGTCTAGCTAGAGCTACTCCACTTAACCTCAAGTTTACAAAATTAGTTTAAAATAATTTGAAAATAAAAAAAGTTGAAAGTGAAAAAATAGTCATGTGGCTACTAGAAAAATAATATATAAAAAAAATAATTAAAAAAAATAATTTAAAAAATAATTAACTAAAAATAATTTGTGATGTTGTGTGATATATGATATGATATAAAAGATAAACAAAAGCAAAAATATCTAATAGTAACAACCACAACAATATACTATATAATAATAATAACGTTACTGCGATTGTAGTAAAAATTTCTTATAATGCCGCTTCATGAAATCAAGAGATTTACCTCTTAAATTTATTGGTAAACTATTAAACACTAAAACAGCATTATAAGTAAACGGTCGCTGGAAAATAGCTAGTCTATACCTAGGCAGCATAAGACTATGAGGATATCTCAAATCCAGATTATGAGCATCTCCACGAAATACTAATTTGTTCCTTAAATAAATAGGATTTGACGACGAAATAATTCGATATATCAATGAGGCGAGGTGATATTTGTATAAATTATCTGTGGTTAACCATTGAAGTTCTTTTATTTTGCATGATACACGATCATATTTTCTTATGCCAAAGACAAATCTGCAACAATTATTTTGAATTTTTTGCAACCTTAATTTCGTAACTTGATCTAAGCAAGGATAAAATACCAAGAGCCCATAATTAAGAATTGACATTACCATAGTTTCACAAAGTAACTTACGCAATTTAAAGTTTAAAATGCCTTTACTTTTAAATAGCTGACGCATAACTAAATAGCACTTTTTTACTAAAAGGGTGACATGCTCTTGAAATCGTAGCGTACAGTCATATATGACTCCTAAGTTCCTGCAACTATTAACATTTTTTAGACGTTCATTTTTTATAATTAGTTTTAAGTTATCCTGAACAGTGGCTTTATAATTTTTTGAACAATATAACAAAGAATTACATTTTTTAGCATTTAGTTTAAGATTATGTCTAGTGGAATAAGTACAAATAGATTCCAAATCCTGATTTATTTTTTGTGACGCTTGATTTACAGAGTTAGGTTCAAAAGAGAAATACAGTTGTGTGTCGTCTGCAAAAGAGTGCAATTTCAAATTATTTAAAGAGTTATACAGGTCTGAAATATATATTGAAAAAAGAAGAGGACCAAGAACCGATCCTTGAGGCACCACTGAAGTGACAGATGCAAATTCTGATGAATTATTATCGATTATGACCTTTTGATAACGATTTACCAAATAAAATTTGAAAAACTGTAAGGAGGTATCATCAAATCCAAAATATTTCAATTTAGCACAAAGAAGAGCGTGATCAATAGTGTCGAAGGCTTTAGAAAAATCAAGCAAGATGACTGAGGCTGCTTTTCCTTCATCAAATGATCGAAGTATATTATCTGTTAAGTGAAGAAGCAGGGTCGTTGTACTAAACTCTTTTCTAAAGCCTGATTGTATATACGGAACTACATTATTTCTAAAAATATAATCGTATATCTGTTTATAAATAACCTTTTCTAAAATTTTTGACAGTCCCGGTAGAATGCTTATTGGGCGAAGATCATTTAGTGATTCAGGTTTATTTGATTTGGGCAGTGGTTTTACCAATGCATATTTCCAAATGTCCGGAAAATAACCTACCTCTAAACAACCATTTATAATGTGCGTAATATAAGGAGCAGTAATAGAAGGGTCTAGGACAATTCGCCGTCGCCGATTCACCGTCGCCCATTTACCGTAGGGACAATTCACCGTTAGCCGATTCGCCGTCGCCGATTCGCCGTCAGAATTTTAATTTTTAGAATGTTTATTATTAACACTTGGTTATAAATGGAAGATTTTAGGCAATCAATTATTTTATAGTAAGTACCAATTAATGTAAGTACCAATTAATTCCTAATAAAAATAAAACACCAACTCAATAAACATCAATAAATAGGTACTTACCATAAAATAATGCATTGCCCAAAATCTTATTTTTATAACCAAATGTTATTAATAAACATGCTCAAAATTAAATTTCTGACGGCGAATCGCCTG